CCAGAGAATGTGAAGAGTTAGACCAAGTAGGCCCCTTGTGAGTACATGTGTCCCTGGAGGCTGGAGGCATCAGATCCCCTGGGCTGACTCCAGAAGCTGGTGAACTGCTGGATAAGGATGCTGTGAAATGAACTCAGGTTCTCTGGAAGAGCAGCAAGTGCTCTACTGTGGAACCATTTCTCAGGCTCAAATAACTGTCATTAAAAAAAAAAAAAGAATCAAAACACACAAGAGATGAGGGAAAGTGAGTGTGTATGTATGTGCATGGATATATGTGTGTCTGTCTGTGTGTGTGTGTGTGTGTGTGTGTGTGCGCACGCATGTGTGTGCACCTCTTGCAGTACCATCAGTGGAACCTAGGGCCTGACAGTTTCCCTACCATTGAGCACCATGCCTTGCTGGTTCTATGAGACAGTCTCAGTGTGTACCTGCAGCTGGCCTTATGAGTACAAGGCCACCTCCATCTTCTCACCTTAGCTTCCCCAGTGCTGGGCTTACATGTGTGCACCACCATGTCCAGCTATGCACGTTTTTGTTTTGTTTTGTTCTCTGAGACAGAGTCTTACTATGTAGCTCTGGCTGGCCTGAGACTCCTCATGACATAGGTTAGGCTGGCTTTGAACTCACAGAGATCTACTTGCCTCTGTCTCCCACGCACTGGAATTAAAGGCATGCACCACCAGTTCTGTCCCGTGAGCATTTTTATTGGGCAAATAGCAAGCATGGGCTTATCAGCAGGTGGTCATTCTCTTCAGATGATGAGGCAGGTGGCAAGTACACTGAGACCCCAGGGGAAGACCTGAAGAAGAGGGATTCAAGGGGCAGGAAAATGAGTGCAAAGGCCCTGGGGTAGAAAAGCCCTTGCTCTGCTTGTAGAAGGGCAGGGAGGTCAGTGTGACTGGAATAGTGTGAGCAGTCGGGGGGGGGGCTATAAACCATAGCTTTGGGGGCCACAGGAAGGAGTTGTGGCTTATTGTTCTCACAGCATTGGGGGATGGATCTCGTTAAGCAGTAGTTATGGCTAACTTTTACGAGCAAGCCTCTGGTTGCTGAGCAGACCCTAGGATGGTGGGGAGTGGGTGCAGCAGGAAGTTGTTGCTAGGCAGGCCAAGGGGGGGGGGTGAGGCTGGCATGGGGAGGGTGTGGAGTGGCTCCCCATTAGAGCACACTGAGTGGCACCAGGGGAAGAGAGCAATAGAACCACTTCCAGATTCTAGTGTAAGCTGGTGGCTGGTGGCTCATACCTGTTCCGAGAAGCAAATGGTCACAAATGGGTGACCCCCACCTACTGACAAGAAGCTGAGGTGTGGGGAGACTGTCTAGGGTGACAGACTGCTGTGTGGCCAAGCAACCCAAACTGGCTGCTTCTGAGACCACTGCTTTCTCAGCATCAATTTTGCCGATACCTCACAGCAATAAAAACGCTGCAAGCCCTAGATGTCTCTCTAGACACCCAGTGAGAACGGCTCGTTAGACCTGGCATGGTCATTTGGTAGGGAGGTGGCCCAGCCAGGCAGGGAATGAGTGGGGTGTGGTAGTGGTTGGTGCCAGACACCCAGGTCCCTCCTCCTGGCCTGGCTTCCTTGATGACGTCCTCCAGTGAGAGTTGGAGGATACAGATGCCCTACTGCTCCTCTATAACGTGTCATTGGGATGCATGGGGCACAGGTAACCCACATGGGCTTGGGAGATCCCAAGTTTTGTGACATTGGTGCTCCTGGGCAGCCTCAGTGACCGGAACTTCAGAGGTCAGACCTGTCCCTTCTAGGGATGTGAACAGGCACCGGTTGGCATTGGGGCACAGGGTCAGTTGAATGTCCCAGGTTGAATAGCTGACAAAGGACCTGGCCAGTTGTGTGAATGGTCACCCCTCACCCACTCCATTGATGAGATGTTTGCCATGAAATTGATTTTGAAAAGCAAGGTGATGCCCATGTGCTCTCCAGTCCTGGGGCTCTCTGTGGGTCTGTTGTCACTACCTGTTGTCAGTTGTCTGTCTCTAGCACCAGAGGCTGGTCTCCTGCCTAAGCAGGCCTTGAGCTTGTGATTCACCAGCCTCGACATTGCAGCTGCCAGGTACCACCGGCCTGGGCTGCCAGGTTTAGCATTCTCCTAACTTGTGCAGCCTCCTGATTTTCTTTGAGAATCGCATAACAACAGCAGCCGCAAACCTGCATCCAACACACATGGACCAGCATCAATCTGCTTAGTTTCAGGGCCCATGGTCCCTGCTGAAGTACAAGCTCTTAATGTCCTTTCTCAGCTGCAGCCAAGTGCAAGCTCAGTGCATCCACGAGACAGAACCAGCGAGTGCAGTCACCTCGCCCACAGCTCAGGCAAGGGCAGGGCTATCCCTCTCAGACTGGAGCTGTCTCTGCCCCAGCCCACTTCCCTTGGGCCTCTCTGCTGCCAAGTGTCACTGTCACCCCCCAGGTCCCTGTAAGGGGGTCCACCATCACCTTCTGCTACTTCAGAGCCTCTTGGCCTCACAGCCTCCTGAGTTGGAAATGAGTCCTTGGGGGTGGCAGGAAGCAAAGGGCCTTGGCTCTGCTTTCCCAGCCTTGGGTTAAGGAACAAAAGAGTCGAAGCTCCAGGCTGCTGAGCAGACAGCTGAAGGATTTTATGCTTTTATGGGGGAAAAATACATTTTGACTGTTGGGGGATTTTTTTTTCCTCTTTGAGCTTTCCCAAAGTAGAGCGCAGAGGAAAAACACTTGTGATGTCTGGTTTAGTCTGGTCTGGTCAGTGCCTTGGTGGCTGGGGCCCTGCTTGTTGGGGCTGAAGGCCTGAACTCCCAGGCTGTTCTGCCTGTGTGCTTCTGGGCAGGCTACTCCTCCTGTCTGAGCCAGGAGTGTTCAGTGGGGTAGGTGAGGATTAATGGGGACAAGGCAACTGTGAGGGATTCCCTGGGGGCCCAACAAATATGCCTTGGGGGTCTCTGGTGTCTTTTGGGATGTTGAGGTACTGAGACAAAGGGTATTTGATCCAGGCAGGTCCAGGGAATACACATTTATTGATCTGAGCAGCACTAGTCTATACCAAGCCCCATTTTATAAATGGGGAAACTGAGGCATGATGTAGCCAAGTCACCTGTGCTCAGCTGTGATGCAATGCAGTTTGCCTGTCTGTAGCTAAGGGGGAGTGTGAAGGGACTCTGAGTGTTGCCCTGAGCAGCGCTTGCTGTCCTGTTCTGGTTTAAATACAGGGTTTCCCTTTGTAGCCCAGGATTGCCTCCAGTTTGTGAAAGTCTTCTTGCTTCATCATCCCATGTGTTGGGATTACTGGTATACATTACCTCAGCTGGTTTATGCCATGCTGGGGATCAAACCCACAGCTTTGTGGATGCCAGGCAGACTTTCTTCCAGCTGAGCTACATCCTCAGCCCCTGGTCACTCGTTCTGGTCTTCCTCTGCATTCAAGCTTTGCTCTGCTGATTCAGGGCCTCAGTGGATTGAGACAAAGGACAGTCCCTTCCCTGGAGGGGCCCAAAGCCATGTGGGGGGCAGGAGTACCCATCAACTCTCTGGCCATGGTATACTATGTCTTCCATGCCAGAGAGAGTTGGGGGAGGGTGACCAGGTAGTGGTGCAGGAGAGTGGCATCAAGAAGGAAGGACAGGAATCTTCAGGAAGTATGGTAACAAAGTCAGCAGCATGGAGGACTGAGGGCATGATGGGTACTGGCCATCAATCAGGGTGACTCGTGTTCCTGTCTTATTGAGAGTCTGAAGTATGGGACCAGGGAGCCACCAGAGCTAGGAGCCGCGTGCTGGTTCTCCGTTTAGTGCAGTACAGTTGGTTGAACACAGGGGCCTTGTCCTCTGGATCCTCCTGCCTTAGCCTCCCAAGCACTTGGATTATAGATGTGGCCACCACAGCTAACCTCAGCTCTGATCTTGACCTTAGAAGGACCTTGTTGAATGAGCCTGTGTCCCCTTTGAGGAATCATTCATTAATTCCTCTGTATGCTCTGGAGAAGGGAATCAATGGGCTGTGGGAAGCACGCTGGGAGACCAGAGATTAAGCAGACACTTGGTAGTGGGCTATGCATTACAGTGGCTGTACTTCAAACTACTAGCACCCAGCCACTAAGGCCATAGCCTGGGCCAAATTCTGTTCCCCAGACAATGGCTCTGTTGCTGTCGGCTAAAGGTAGTTCTAACTAAATCTCTAATAAATCATTCTAATAAAACTCGAGATTCAAAGGCTAGGGTGAAGACTTGTAAGCTCAGAGAGGTAGAACAGTGGCTGGCTAACTTTCTTCTTCTTCTGGTGTCCCTGAAGCCACTCCCTTCCACAATGCCCCAACTTAAAAAAAAAAAAAAAAAAAAAAAAAAAAAAAAACAAAACAAAACAAAAAAACAACCCACACTAAGCTCCACCTTGCTACTTCATGTCAACCAGTTGCTAACCCCACCTCCAAGCCCAGGTTAATTTTATGTAATTAGTGCAAATGCCACAGATCTTTATACAGTTAACAAATGGCAGCACAAACAAATGTAACACAACTTTGCCCAGTTAAAGTAATATTCCATAACAAGGAAATGTCTGAGAAGAGCTGATATCTGAGGCTGACGGAGGTAATGAGAAGCACCAGGGCCCAGGGCACCGTAGTGCCTTCTGGAAAAGCTGTGGCTGTGGTGTGGTGGGAAACACTTGGAATTTTAAGGAAGCAGGGACTGGAGTGGCTTCAGGGCCTCCCAGTATCTGAGTTTTTCTTTCTTTTTTAAAGACAAGGTTGCTTATAGCCCAGGCTATTCTAATTTACTGTATTGTCCCAGGCTGACCTTGAACTCTTTAGTCTCCTGTCTCTTTCCTCCACACAAGTGCTGAGGTCACAGACATGTGGCACCCTGCATGGTTCCTGGCTTCAATGCAGTTGTTCAAGTGTGCCGAGGGACCTGACTTCCCTTTCCATTGTGTCTGAGGCTGGGCCAGTGGCCGTCTCCAGACATCTGTCCCTTCCATTCCTGCTAATTTCTCTTTTCTCTCCTCTTTCAGGAACCTCTTGGACAAAGACATGTTTTCCAAGTCTGACCCATGTAAGTCCTGCTCAGACAGCATCAGCCATCCCAGTGATACAGTGGCCTGGTGACTAGTGACAGTGGCCACCAGCAGCTCTTACTGAGTGCTGGAGCTGTGCAGGCTTGGGATCCCTTGAGTCAGGGCTGGCAAGCATTACAAAGTGGTGTCCAAAGAAGTGGGAGCTGGCCACACTCTACCCCCATACTTATAAGGTCTCAGCACCTCAGAGCATCTTGGGAAGGGTTGGGCTATCTGAAACAAAAAGGCCTCTTTCCCCATGGGAACTGGTACATTTATGTTGGCTGTGGTCTGCGGGAATGAGCATGGGTTTGGGAGGGCCGGGCTGTAGTTCTGAGCACTGCTGGCCAAGAACATGGCCTTCAGTGGCCTACTGAGAGCCTCAGCTTTCCCCCATCAGTAAGGAGGGTCTGGTGACAGTGATGGGCTCTGAAGGGACAATGTGTCGGTGCCGTCCTCACCACACCTGCCACTCAGCCCTCGTCATGTCCACCTGTCCCCCTGCCTCACACCCAGACCCTTTCTATGCTGTAGAAATTGACAGCCCTTGGGTTCCCTCCTAAAAGTCATGCTGAGATCCTAGGCCCCTTTGCCAAGCCAACTGCCAGGTGTTACTTGTGGGGAGAGAGACCCATTGTGGGACTGGAGATGTAACTGAGTGACAAGGATCTGGGAGCCAATCTCAGTAGCACAACAACAAAGCAATGTGGTCTAGATTTAGAGGCCATTCTTACCCTTAGCTCACCAAGACTGCAGTTGCTTCAACAGACACTCACCCTTTCCCCAGACCCAACAGAATAATCTGCTTTCCCTCTTGGACTGCGATATTAACCTGTGTTTTTTTTTTTTTTTTCTTCTCATCCCCAGTGTGTGTCATGTACACTCAAGGGATGGAGAACAAGCAATGGCGGGAGGTAAGTGCCACCCCTTGCCCACCCAAAAAGACCAGACATTGTTGTTGACTGCCTCAGAGTGGTCCCTCTGTAGGAACTCCAACCTGTACCTACAGAGGCTGCTAGGCAGGGCAAGCGGAGGGTGCAGAGACCAAAGGCAGAGCAGGCTGTGCCTGCCCTCTGGTAGCTCTGGTCAGAGGGGAGATGCAACTATATTAGTTGCTTTGTGTAACCAAACAGTTTAAAGGAAGAAAGATTAACTTCAGCTCACATTTTGGAGGGTCTAGCCATTGTTGCTTGGCCCCATGCAACTTGGTTGGGGGAGCATGTGGTAGGGGAGGCTGTTCACCTCATGGGAGACAGGGAGCAGAGGACAGAGGGAATGCCTGGGAAGGACAGAGCAGGGACATGGCCCACTGACCTGCTTTCTCTACTCTGGCCCCACCACTCAGTCATTCCACAGAGAATCTGAATGCAGGGGTTAAACCATTCATTAACAAGAAAACAAATCCATTCATTTGATCAGAGACTTCATGATCTAACTAATAATCTCTGGAAACCCCCTTCCACTCATAGAGATGTGTTTTAAGCCATCTGTGGTGGTGTACACCTTTAATCTCAGTACTCGGGAGGCAGAGACAGGAGGATCTCCATGAGTTTCAGGCCAGCCTGGTCTGTATAGCAAATTTCAGGACAGGACTACAAAGAGAAACCCTGTGTCAATGAAAGAAGAGAAGGAAGAGGAAGAAATGTGCTTTGTTTATCACCTACATGTTTCTCAATCCAGTTAAGGGGACAATATTTACTGAAAATCTACCTCTGGTCCCCACAAGGCTCACATCTGTCTCTATAGTCTCAATATTCTTAACAGTCCCAACAGGAGACTCAAGGCAACTCTTAGCTGTAGACTGATGTGGGAAAAAACCAAAACACAAGTTATGTATTTCCAAGATATGGTGGCCCAGAGTACACATTCTCATTTCAAAATAGAAGGGTGGGAGAACAGTAGAAATGGCGCAGACCAAAGCATGGCCACCAGAGCCACCCAGCAGAGCCACCCCTAGAGCCACCCTGCAGAGCCACCACTACATCCTGTATACTGGTGTCATGATGTGTACCCTAACGAGAGCCCCTCTCATGCCCTTGCTGTTTGCATCCCACACAGCCTCTCTCTTAGGCTCAAGGCTTTTTACTTTTCTTTCCTTCTGTATATCTTACTTTCACTCCTTCTTGTCTGTTTGGCAGCAGCCTGGCTTCTTGTCCCAGATATGCCTCTCTCATTCTCCCTCAATCTCTGCTCCTTGCTCCTCTCTAGTTCCAAGATTCCTCCTACTTATTCTCTCTGCCTGCCAGCCCCTCACATCCTCTCCTGACTAGCTATTGGCCGTTCAGCTTTTTATTAGACCAATCAGGTACCTTGGGCAGGCAAGGTGAAACAGAAGCACATCTTTCCATAGTTAAACACACATCCCTACATTGTTGAACAAATGCAGCATAAACAAATGTAAGACACCTTTACACAGTTAAAGTAATATTCCACAGCACAAACAAGTGTAACATATCTTTGCCTAGTTAAAATAATGTCCCACAACATCCAGCCTTTCCTGAAGTCTCAGAACAGGAATGCAATATACATGAAGCCTTTGCCAGAATAGGCTGTGAATGGCTTCTTACGTGGAGTCCTATGAGCCTGGCCTTGACTGTTGACATTGCTGTTGGTCTTCTGGGACCAGAACCATCAGTTAAGCCCTGCCTATAGCTTCCGAAGGCTGTCACCTGTTGTGACGTTTCCAGTCCCTTCACTCAAGCAAACTCCAAAGGCTTAACCATCATAGGGTCTGTTAGTCACCACAGTGACTCCACTCCTCTGCTGCATAAATGTCACATGTACCTGAGGAAGTCAACTTACAGGGAGGAATTTTTGCTCATGATTTTAGAGGGTTCAACCCATGCTTGCTTGGCCCCTCCTGTTCTATCAAGAATAGGAGCATTTGAAGGAAGAGGCACCTTCACCTCATGGTGGACTGGAAGCTGAAAGAAGAAGGCAAGGGTCCCTGAGCAAGGACTGGACCAACTGCTCAGCAGGTCTTGAGCTCTTTCTGTCCTTGCAGAGGACCTCAAGTTTGGTTCCCAGCACCCACCCCAAGCAGCTCACAACTACCTGTAACTCTAGCTCCAAGGGATCTTATATCCTCTTTTGTCCTACTTGGATACCCCCACACAGATACACACATATACATAATTAAAAATAAATCTTTATGTCTTTTGAGCTGGGTGGTGGCGGCTCACACCTTTAATCCCAGCACTCAGGAGGCAAAGGCAGGAGGATCTCTGAGTTCAAAGCCAGCCTGGTCTACAGAGGAAGTTCCAATAAATATAAAAAATGTTTGAAATCAATATAACCTTCAAGGGCATGCCCTCTAGTGAGCTCTTCCTCCAGCCAGGACCCCATTCCACAGTTCTACTTCCTACTAACAGTCTATTCAAAGTTTGAATCCAACAGTGGATTAAGCCATCTAATTACAGCTCTAAAAAAGAACCTCACAGGCAACCAGGGCTATACTTCTCTGCTCTCTAGACTCCTCTTAACCCAACCAAGATGACAAAGTTGGTCATCAGGATGGTCCTGTTCTGGAGGACCCCCGGTGTGATGATAAACAACCCATCCTCGGGGATGTCCCAGACACAAAGGGAGGAGTCCAGGCTCACATTGCTCCCCTTGGTGCCTAGGGCAGGGCTCCCTTGTTCGCCCTGAGTCTCCCCAGCAGGCTCCCCATCCCATGTTTCTGACTAACATGAGCGTAGCTTCAGCAAGGGGATTCCCTGCTCTGAAATCTCTCCCAGTTCTCTTCTGCTTGGATCAAGCCCCCACTCTTCAGCCTGGCTTCTACACCTTTTCCAGTCTGGGCTGGTTTCCAGTGTTCAGACTATGCTCTGGATGTCATGGAGACATAGTGGAAAGGGCCTCTTGACCTGCCAGGCCCACCTGTTCCGACATCCTTTACCTGGCTGGCTGACCTCACCTCCTATTACCTGTCCCCTTCATCTCCTTCCACCCTGCCCCGGGCACCTGCCTCAGGGCCTTTGCACATGCTACCTGGCCATGCTCTTTTCTTACATCCCGGTGCCCCTTCCATGATTTCCTCAGATCCTGACATTTGTCACCCATCATAAGGTCTTCTCTCCTCAGTGAGGGTCTCAGTCTCCCTGGTACATCTGACATAGCCTGCTTTTTTGTCTCCTTTACCACCTTGTTTTTTCTTTTTTTTCAACCATGGACAGACCCTAGCACCAGTTTTTACCTTGTCACATGTCAGCTCTACAAGGGAAGGCGATCTCCAAGCTCCTTACCTACTGTTCCATTGTGAGCACCTAGAACAGTGCTGTGTCCAGCACACAGCAGCCACTTCATAAACTGAAGTTTATGAAGTTGCTGAAAAGCTAACAGTTAGGGATGGGATTCGGACCTAGGCAGGCTGGTAAGAACTGGTGGCTGCTGTCTTCCTCCCACCTTGGCCTCCTTGCCCCTCGCTTCTCCCAGTGGAGAAGAATGAGCTTGGGGGAATCTGATGGTGGAGGCTAGTGGCCCCGAGAGCACCTGCCTTTCTTATTTGACACAAAAGCTATCGCTCCTGCCTCTTGAAAGCACAGGGCTGAAGCAAGGGGTGGAAGGAAGAGTTGTTTTCGTTCGTGGGGGGGGGGGGACTTGCAGTTTCTTTGGCCTGTTGCTTAAGTGGCTTCCTGTGACCGTCCAGGCTGCCTGAAGAGGCTGAAGGTTGGGTCTGCTCCTTTTGCTGTAAAATAAACTAATGATCAGACAGGAAAGGGTTGGCTGCGGCCTTTGCGGCCTTGGCCTCTGCTCATCCCACTCCATCAACTCCTGGGAGGGAGGTACAGGGGCCTGTGCATAGAGACTGCTTGGTATCTCTGAAAGTCCTAGCATGCCCCTCATGAAAGGTCCATAGTGAAGCTGGGAGAGCAGGCCCCACGCTGAGTCTCCAGCCTTAGTGGAAGCAAAGAGTGGAAGGTGTGGATTGAATCTGAGAACTGGGACTCCTTCCACTGAGGCCAGGCTGATGTGACTTCACTCTCTAAGGCTAGAAATCTATCGAAGCCTAAACCAGATTGCTAGGGAATGGTTTTAGCCTGCTTAAGTAGACTAATTACCCCAGAGGCCTTTGGCAGAGCCTCCGGACTGGAGTACCAGGAATACACCCGTGGCTTAGTGATTCATTAGAGCAAGTCTGGAAGGACCTCTTCAGAAGGGCACTGCTTGGCAGACTGTTAATTACATTCTATAATTGAAAATAGTCTCTGTCATTAAGGTCCAGGGCCTCTAATTGTCCAAACTTCTTTGTTAACTGTACCCCCAATCTTGGCCAAAAACCACACATGCAGGGCAGGGCATGGACACACCTAAGCTTTGCCAGAACTTCCAGGCCTTTGTGGAGGCCTATGTATGAATTCCATACATAGAGATGAGAATGTGGCCTTGGATGGGAAACGAGATGTCAGCGGTAAAGATCACTGGTGTCTTACACATGGCTCTCACCATAGAACATCACCTGAGTTCCAGTCTTCCTGGCAGCTTTCCTGGTTAATCAAAGTTTGAAATGTATAGCCTATGTGAGATGCCAGCAATATACCAAGGGGTAGGGAAGCAGGAAAAGTGAGGGTACAATAGACCAAGTGTGAGTAGGGACCTGTATGTCTGTGTGTGTGTGTGTGTGTGTGTGTGTGTGTGTGTGTTTCTGGAGTTCAAGACCAGACTGTTCTACACAATTTCTGGGACAGCCATGACCACATAATAAAGAGACCCCTGTCTCAAAAAACAAATGAAAAAGATTATGTTTATTTGGAGTGGATGGCATATGCCATGACATGCTTGTGGAGTCAGAGGACAACTTCCACCATGTGGGTCCTGTGGCTCGATCCCTGCTTAGACCTGCTGGCAGGTTCCTTTACCAGATGAGCCATCTCACTGGCCCTGTTTGGATTTTTAAAAATTCTCTCAGGATTAT